TGTTGCGGTCTGAGAGATTGAGACCCCTCAAAGACTGGGGTACAGGACAGGGTCGTCTGGAATGAATTCACAGACTCAAGCATTCCTTAAGTCAAGATGGCAAAGATTTATTGATACACTTTTCAGTGGGCAAGTATTCTTAAGGAACCTGCAAGAGAAGGAGGACGGAGCTAGGGTTTATATGGAAAAGGGCATGGGAAGGGAATGCCAGGAACACTGATGAGGTAATCCAAAGGTGCAGGTGTCTTTGGGGGCTATGGATGGGAAAGTACAGGGAGTATACCGGACAGGGAGGGGGATGGATCTTTGGAGTGTGGCAGGAGGAAGAGTCCTTGGGCTGGTCAAGGACACCCCTCTCTCTCTGTCTTGATGAAAGAATGTTCTGCAACAAGGGAAAGCTTTCTCACAAGACAGGAACTTACTGAGGAATTGGGAGGCTTCCAGAGACATGGTCTGAGGGCTGGGGCCTGAGCAGCCCAGCACTCTCTCACCCAGCTTTGTGTAACTGCACCAGGAAGAGAGATGCTGGGGTCCATGCATGAGTAATTGCTAGGCACAGTGACCTTGGGCTGGTGAGTGATTGTCAGAGACAGTGTTTCTGAGACTAGGGAGAAATTGGGGTCCAAGTACAAGCACCCAAAGACAAGCACCCAAGCACCCCATCACTAGGACCACTGAAGACTTTCCTGGCTTCCTTTAAGTTTCAGCTAAAATCCTATCTTTTATTGGAAGCCTCCCTTAACAACTATTATTTTAGTTTCTTTCCCTTGTTAACTCCTTCCTATTTATCCTTTATATAGCTCATTTTGCATATATTTGTTTGCATGTTGTCTCCCCAGTTAGACTGTAAGCTCCTTGAGGATAGGAACTGTCTTTTGACTACTTTTGTATCCCTGGTTATTAGCAGCACTGTCTGCACATAGTAGGTGCTTAACAAATGTTTATTGATTGTCAAGACCCCTGAATTACTTGTTGACTTATATCCCTATTTTATAGAGAAGGCCAGTGAGAGGTTAAGTAATTTTTATGAAGTCACACAACTAGTTCCATAGTACAATGGGAAGAGCACTACTTCATTTGAGGGCAAGAGGCCCTGGGTTCAAGTCCTTATTTTTCTTATCAAGGCAAGGAACTTCTCTCTCCCAGGGCCCAGTTTCTTCATCTGTAAAATGAGAGGTTTGGCTTAGGCCATCATTAAAGTCCTTTCCAGTTCCAACCCTCATAAGGTGGAAGGCCCTCATAAAATTAGAGAATGTTAAGAATTTATAGTCTAAATCCCCAATTAAACACAATGATGGGTGGGGAACCTGCAGCCTCAGGGAGGCCACATATTACCTTCTAGATCACTGGGTGCAGCCCTTTGACTGAGTCCAAGTTTCAGAGAACAAATACTTTTATTAAGGGGATTTGTTCTGTGAACTTTGGAATCTGTCAGAGTGTTGCATTTGAAGACCTAGAAGGCCACATTTGACCTTGAGGATGCAGATTCCCCACCCTTGAATTGGAAATCCTGAAAATCAAAGGAAAGGTTGATAAAATTGAAAGTAAGAAAATCACTGGATTAATAAATAAAAATAGGAATGGTTTTATGAAAACAACAACAATAAAATAAACCATTGGTTAAATTGATCAAAAAATAAAGAAGAAAACCAAATTATCATTATCAAAAATAAGGTTGAATGCACCACCAGTGAAGATGAAATTAAAATAGTTATTAGGAGCTATTTTGCCCAATTATATGATAATAAATCTGACAATCTAAGTGAAATGGATGAATATTTGCAAAAAATACAAATTGCCCAGATTAACAGAAGAGGAAATAGAATACGAAAATAACTCTATCTTACAAAAAGAAATTGAACAATCCATCAAAGAGCTCCCTGAGAAAAATCCCCAGGACCATACTGATTCACAAATGAATTCTATCAAACATTTAAAGAACAATTAATTCAAGTACTATATAAACTATTTGGAAAAATAGGCAAATTCCTTTTCTGTCACAAATATAGTGCTGATACCTAAACCAAGAAGAACAAAAACAGAGAAAGAAAACTATAGACTAATTTCTGTAATAAATACTGATGCAAAAATTTTCAATAAAATACTAGCAAGGAGATCACAGCAACATATCACAAAGATCATACACTATGACTGGTGGGATTTATACCAGACATGCAGGGCTGGTTCAGTATTAGGAAAACTGTCATCATAATTGATCATATCGATAACAAAAAACAACAAAGCTCATATGATTATCTCAAGACATGCAGAAAAAGCTTATGATGAAATACAAGACTTATACCTATCAAAAAACTCTAGAAAGTATAGCAGTAAACAGAGCTTTCCTTAAAATGATATGTAGTATCTATCTGAAACCATCAGCAGACATTAACTAAAAGTTTTCCCAGTAAGATTAGGGGTGAAGCAAGGATTCCCATTATCACCATTATTATTCAATATTGTACTAGAAATGCTAGCTATAACAATAAGACAAGAAAAAGAAATTGAAGGTTTTAGAATATGCAGTGAGAAAAAACTATCACTCTTGGTAGATAATATGATGGGATACTCAGAGAATTCTAGAGAATCATTAACAACTTCAGCAAAGCTGCAGGATATAAAATAAACCCACATAAATCGTCAATATTTCTGTATGTTACCAACAAAGTATAGCAGGAAGAGATAGAAAGAGAAATTCCACTTAAAATAACTGCAGAAAAAATGAAATATTTGGGAGTCTACCTGTCAAGACAAAACCAGAAATTATATGAACACAATTATAAAACACTTTTCACACAAATAAAGTCAGATCTAAAAAACTGGAGAAATATTCATTGTTCATGGGTACGCTAAGCCAATGTAATAAAAAATGACAATTCTACCTAATTTGCTTATTTAATATCATAACAATCAAACTACCAAAAATTATTTTATAGAACTAGAAAAAATATTGATTTTTTAAAATTTTTAATTAAATATTTTAACAATTCATCTGGAAGAGCAAAAGATCACGAATATCAAGGGAATCAATAAAATATGTGAAAGAGGGTAGCCTAGCAATACCAGATCTCAAACTGTATTACAAAGTGGTAATTATCAAAACAATCTGGTACAGGCTAATAAATACAGTGGTAGATCAGTGGAATAGATTAGGTGAACAATACACAGTAGTAAGTGATCATGAAAATCTAGTGTTTGATAAAGGCAAAGTTCCAAGCTTTAGGGGTAAGAACTTACTATTTGTCAAAAACTGCTGGGAAAGCAGTTTGGCAGAAACTAGGTATAGATCAACATCCCACACTATATGAAAAAAAAATCTAAATAGGTACGTGACTTAGATATAAAGTGTGATACCATAAGCAAATTAGGGGAGCATAGAAAAATTTTCCTGTCAGATCTATGGATAAGGGAAGAATTTATGCCCAAACAAGAGATAGACAGCATTATAAGATGTAAATACGGATGATTTTGATTACATTAAATTAAAGAGGTTTTGCACAAACAAAACCAACATAACCAAGATGAGAAGAAAAGCAGAAAGATAGGAAACAATTTTTACAGCCAGTGTCTCAGATAAAGGCCTTATTACTAAACTATATAGAGAACTGAGTCAAATTTATAAGAATACAAGTCATTCCCCAACTGATAAATGGTCAAAGGATAGGAACAGGCAATTTCAGATGAAGAAATTAAAGCTATCTATAATCATATGAAAAAAATGCTCTAAATCACTATTGACTAGAGAAATGTAAATCAAAACAACTCTGAGGTACCACCTCACACCTATTAGATTGGCCAACATGACAAAACAGGAAAATGATAAATGTTGGAGAAGATGTGGGAAAATTGGAACAGAGTTGGTGGAGTTGTGAAATTGCTCTGGAGAGCAATTTGGAACTATGCCCAAAGGACTATAAAACTGTGCATACCCATACACATGACACATCAATACCACTTCTAGGTCTGTATCCCAAAGAGATCATAAAGGGCAAAAGACTCACATGCACAAAAATGTTTATAGCAGCTCTTTTTGTGGTGGCAAAGAACTGGAAACTGAGGGAATGCCCATAAATTGGGGAATGACTGACAAATTGTGGTATATGAATATAATGGAATGTTATTGTGCTATTAGAAATGATGAGTAGGTGGATTTCAAAAATAATTTTTTAAAAAGAGTTTACACTCTAATTTGAAGCCAAAACACTGTTCCTATAAAAATAACTAATGTTGGAAGGTAGAAACCAAGTGTCAGAACAATTCTTTAGTGGGTGCTGGGAATGTTTTCAGCTTCTTTTTGTATCCCTAGCGCTTAGAGCACAGTGTCCGGCATAGAGTGGGTGTTTCATAAATGTTTATTGAATTGAATTGAATTTTGAATGTTTTCTACCAAACCTAATAGAAATATAGATACAGACTTTAAGGAGACCTCAGCACAGAGATAAAATGAGATATATGTAACGGGCTTTGCAACCCTTAAAACACCATCTAAAGGCTAGCTGTTATGATGCAGTCCATTTTGCAGTTGAGGAAACTGAGTCCCAAGGGGATTAAGTGAATTTACTAGTGAAACAGACATGTACCCTTGCCCTTCAAAACCTGAATAAAATTCCAATGTCTAAACTTTAATTAACTGGTTTAAATTTAATAGTTTAATTAGTAAATTCGTTGGTCTAATTAATTAAGCTTCCATCCACGGAGTCCCCCGATTCCCAAGGAATCCCCTTCCTTTCCAACCCGGGTGACAACATCCCGCCTCCTCCAACCCCTTTCCACGCCCTTTCCGAGCTACCACTAAAACCCGGAGAAGCGAGGATTTCTTTTTCCCGGAAAGTACGCATCGGACTCGAAGGAAAACAGCGGACAGTGATTGACGCGGGCTTCAGGCGCTGATTGGCTGGCCCACGCCTCCCGTGTGGATTAGGACACGCCCACTTCCGCGTTTACTTTTTCAGACACGTCATCCTACTTAGGAGGCCGGTAGGAGCGGTCATGAGGGAAGAATCAGCACTTCCGGATCCGGCGGCGCTAGAAGCGGCCCCTCTTTCTTAGGCTTCTCTAGCACCCCAGGATGGTCCTCTTCTTCGTCTCTTCCTTCCTCCTGGGCGTTTCCTCGAAGTTCTTATCTTTTTAACCCAAGTAGCCAGATTACAGCTAGGTATCCAGGAAATAAGAGACTTTAACAGTTAGGATGTGGCTGGGCCACTGGGTAAACTGGGTAGTTTTCACAGCGTGGAAAACTGTCCTGTGGCCAATTCTGGGGTAGGGTGGGGTGGGGGGAGGGAGGAATGTGAAAGAAAAAAAATAAAAGCCCTTTGGGACTCCAAGATGCCTCTGTGGAATGGAGGAAGAAAGGTTCTCCACCCTCCTTTTCCCTCCCTCCCTTCCTTCCTTCCTTCTTTCCTCTCTCTTTCTTGTTAAGTGATTTGATTTGCCCAGGGTCACATAGCTAGTAAGTGTCTGAGGCTACATTTGAACTCAAATCCTCCTAACTCCAGGACTGGTGCCCTGTCCACTGCACCACCAAGCTGCCCGGATTCCCCACCCCGCCTTCTGGACTATAATACTTCCGTTCTTCGAAGGACTTTGACTCAGCTATCAAACTTAAGGAAAATGATTTCCTCATTTTCGTAGCTGGATCAAACGCAATTTTACTTGGGGGTTGGGGGAGGGGGGAGAGGAGAGAGGGTATAAGAGAAAAAAATACATGTGTATATATATTTATATTTAAAGCTGAACACAATTGAGATTTAGACTTCTTTATGATCATCATGTCCAATTTAAATGATGAAGATGTTAGGATTTAGGTCATGCTGTACTTTGAGAGTGCTTGGTTTAGGAATGAGTTAACATTATTTTTGTTTGGTTTTGGAGGCAGTGGAATTAAGTGACTTGCACAGTCACACACATTCCAGGGTTAGTTGTCTATACACTCTGCCACCTAGCTGCCCCTGGAATCAATTAACTTTAAAGATTTTTCTAGAATAAAATGAGTGTTTTCATTATTCTTGTTTCCAAATAAAAATTTAAAAACCGCATTCAATTTTGTCAGAAAGTGTTCAGCTTTATTCAGAAGACTTCAGTAATAAAATATTAGTAAGTTAGTATTTGGCCAAAGCACTTGAATGGTGGCTTATATTTTAGCTAGAGACTGTAGAAAGAGTATGGAGCTGGAGTCAGAAGAATGGGGTTCAAATTCTGCTTCTGCTAATTTATTTCTTGTGTTGTTCCTCCCTCCGCTTTCCACACATACAAAATCCCTCTCCCACCAAACCTCACTGAGCCAGTCCACAAACATTTATTAATGCTAGAGTTACAGAGAAAGGCAAACTAAGAAAGCAGAAGTCATCATCCCAGTGCTCCCTTCATCTTTCCCCCTACTCTACATCTTAAAACCATTTGAAATCTTCTCTATTCTCAGATGAAGAGGTGGCCCTTCCTCTGGCCAAGGCCAACCCTTCAGTTCCCTGGATGTCTTCTTTTCAATTCTTCTGTAGCAATTTACCCCCAAATCTTCCCATGCCCTTCTCCACTTTTCAGTCTTCCTCAAACTACTGCCTCTTTTTCTGGTGCTTATAGAAAAAATGCAAATTTTTCACATTCAAAAAAAAAATCACTTGACTCCCTGCCCCTCAGACTCATCCTATGGCTCTCCTTCCATTTGCAGACAACTTCCTGGGGGTTGGGGGGGACCTTGCTAAAGTAATTGCCTTTACTTCCTCTCTTCTCACTGTTCAACCTCTTGCAATCTGATTTCCAGCCTCATTACTCAGCTGAAACTGGTTTCTCCACACCTAACATGCTATGTTAATTGCAAATCTAGTTTCTTCTCAGTCCTTCTTTACCTCTCTACAGTGTTTGACACTTTTCTAACCCCTCCTAGGTACTTTCTCTTTCCTGAGTTTTCATGATTCTGTTCTTCCCTGGTTTGCCTCCCACTTGTATGGCCGATCCTTGATAGATAGATAGATAGATATAGATGATAAAGCAATTATTAAATGCTTGCTATGTACTACACCCTGTGCTGAATCCTAGGAATTTGTTTTTCAGTCATTTTCAGTTGTGTCCAACTCTTTGTAACTCCAATTGGGCTTTTCTTGGCAAAAATACTGGAATGGTTTGTCATTTCCTTCTCCAGGTCATTTTACAGATGAGGAAACTGAGGCAAACCAAGGTTAAGTGATTTGCCCAAGCTCACAGAGATAACAAGTGGCAGGGGCCGAAGGTTTTCCTGATTCCAGGCTCAGGGCTCTATCTACTGAGGCACCTTCCTGCCAAACCTTGGAATACAAAAACTCAAATAAGCAAAATAATCTCTTTCAGGAAAAAACCCCCCACAAAACCTGTGTTCTGATAGGGGAGGGGGAAAGAAAACTCAGAAATGGAAGCAGGAAAGGGGAGAGAGGACCCATGCAGAGCGTGTAGAGATGGTCTCAAAGTGAGTGATTTGGAGGTCTGGTTCCTGGCAAGATGAGGTGAAATCTCATAAGAGCTGGAAAAGCCAGGGGAGTAGTCCAAGGGTTTTATTGAGCCAGATCTGATTGATAGCCTCTACATTATTATATGAACCTTAGGTAAGTGTATAGGAGTGTCTACTTGGTAAGCTATCCTATACAAGGATTGAAAGAAGAATTTCCCAGTACTGTAACTATCACCAGAAGTTTTTTAATAGCATTGTGAGATCTGGAGAGTGAGATATAAATGAGAAAATTAGTATGTGGTGGATTCAGTTAAACTCAGTAATTAAGAGGGTGGAGCACTACTAATCTAAGGTGGGAAGAAATACAAAGGTGTATCCTTAAGTAGATATCATTTACTAAAAGAAAGCAACCATACTTTGGAGGTGTATAGTATCCATCTGCATCATGAATCATTGAACTAATTCACACATGTTACATAGAAAATATGAAAATCATGACAATGTCTTTTACAACAGGTCGTATCTATAAAAAATGAACTTCAAAGAGCTCTTAATTCCTTAATTTCACTGGGTTTTTATTGTATCAAATATGTCAGAAATGAGTAAACCGTCACTTGGAAATTGAAGGTCTTTTAATTTTCTTTGAATTTTTTTTGTTGAACAGTAGCTGATTAACTTGTTAATTTATACCCATCTCTCTTGTGATTAAGACTTCATAACACCTATACATTTAACCAGAATTAAAGTGCCTTGCAGAATCCTCAAAGTATTTTTTAAAAGACATTCAACAAGAAAGCACACTAATAAGCACAAAGAAAGATATGAAGCCATTTCTTATAATTATTACAAAGCAGCTGCAAAATAAAACCTAAAAATTTCTTCAGAAAATGGTTGAAAGTAATTAAGAATAAATGCTTATTGAGGAGGGAAATCAGTGGGAAAGCTATTATATTGAGTTATCTGTTGTTGATGATGGAGTTGAGATCAAAAGTGTTTAAAAGTGAAGTTATAGGGACAGCTAGGTGGCTAAGCGGATAAAGTTCCGGCCCTGGAGTCAGGAGGACCTGAGTTCAAATCCAGACACATAACACTAACTAGCTTTGTGACTCTGGGCAAGGCACTTAACCCCAATTGCCTCAAATTTTAAAAAAAATGGGAGTTATGTAAAAATTGTATTACTGGCCTTAAAAGGGCCCTTGGTTCTGTGCAATGTGAAAACATAGGAAATAGGAAAGGACTCTAGATTATTGGAGTTCAATTAAATAGAGTTGTACCAACTCTAGATTTGTGATTAGGAGAAACTTGGGCTTGAACCCTGTAACACTAGCCTAATGACCTTGGACAAGCCATTATTCTCCTCTGGGCCTTAGTATAATTATTTTTTAAAAATCTCTCTCCCCAAACAGTGGCCAGCATCTATACAATTGAGGCTGTTACGAGGAAAGACCTTTATAAACATGAAGATACCATGGGAGTTCCGAGATACATGTGAGTTATTCGTATCCAAATTTTGACTATGTCATCATTCTGCTTTGGGACCACTTCGTGGAGTAGGAAGGCATATAATGATATGTGATAAGAGTATTTTTTGAAATGAGATATGGTTGTATTTTGTCTTTATTCTACTAGTAGGTAGAATTTAGATTTCTTATTACTGGTAAACCATAGTGTCTTTTCTCAAAATTCATATGGTCTCTAAAGTGAGCCTACTATCCCTAAGGAGAGAGTGCCTCTGAACCATCACACCAAACAAATATCACTTCTCTGTGTAAAGAATGTCTAGTGCATAAGCAGACTCCATCAGTTTACTAAACTGATTTAGTCTCTTCACAAGGAGGAGACTGGGGAACTTGCTTCCTAGAGAATCATGATAATGTGTAAGGGGAGAGCTATGGAGAGATTGTGAAACCTATGTAGACATTCCGTAACTGGTGCTAGGTGGCTAATCATGTGATTTGGGGAAACCTTTTTTGATTAGCTGAGTGGCCAAAACTAGCCATGTCTTAAAAAAGGCCTGAGTCAGCTTTACCTGTCTTGGCTTCAGTCAGTGACTCCTTTACCACTCACTTCATCCAGTCAGAGACCATGATATACAGGGCCTCCTGCTCTCTGGGACCCCAAGAAACACACCTCTGTCTTTGGCCTTTTTTTTTCTGTTCTAGAAGTGAAAGGTGCCAACCTTGGAGTTTCAAAAGGTCTTGAGAGCAAGTCAGAAATCTAGGAGTTGGAATCCAGACTGAGTTTTATAGCCAGTGTAGTATAGATACCCCAAAGAACAAGGAACAACCTCCACAAATAACTTTTGGGACCCTAGCCCAAAGATGAATGAAGTGAGTATTTATTTGACAGCAATACTGCCTTCAAAGCAATGCAGGAACTGAGCTAAATTTTGAGTTTATTTCTCTATACTCTGAGGTGGCTTTGAGAGTTTAAACCTGGATTTAAATCCCTAGAAGCATTACGAAGAATGTTTATATGACTGATTTTGCTATACATTTGAAGTAAATATCTCAAATTGATAATTTGTGAAATGGAGGAAGGTATACCTGGTTCTTTGAGCACTTGCTGGGAAAGCCCACAATGGCAGCAGGAAATGGAACTGCAATCACATTTTAATAAGGCACAGATGGTACAAAGACAAGCAGCAAAAGGGGTACTGAGGCAGATAGCAATGGGACAGGTTGGGGAGATGGTATGGTGAAGGGAGGCAGGTAGGGTGGGAACAAGTATGGGCAAGGGTTGAAGCAGAGATTGTCATTCACATAACCATGGATTAGAGTTGGGAGCACTAGGCAGCATGGGAGGTGAAGGCAGGTAGGAGTTTGAGGTCTCGTTTTTATAGAATACACTAACTCATCTGGACCACCTTGGGGTTAGTTCATTAACATATTCAAATCATGTTTCATCTCAAAGTTATCAGGACTTTTTGATATTTTGTTTTATTTGGAACTATGGAAGACTGGAATTTGTCTGGGATTTCCAAATTGTGGGACCAGAAAGCTCTGACAGCAGCACCTAAATGACTTCTATTGATTGAGCACATATTACCAGGCTGTGAATTTTGGTTAATATCTAATGCAATTTGTAAATTATGCATCTTTGATCTTTGAGACAGTTTGTATATGACTTCCGGCTTCCTCTTTGCAATCTTGTTTTCTATTGCCCCTTTACATTGGCTATTTAAATGTACTATATTGAGTAGAAGGGGGAGAATGGTCAGGGGATCTAAAACAAGATACAATTTTAACACATTCCTTTGTAGAAACTAATTGATGTTAAAGAGTTAAATGGAAATGAGATCTAGTCACAGGTCCCTAACAGTGGTGGGAATGCCACAAATGGGAACTCAAGCAGATGGCAATGGAGAAGAGAAAGATCCTCTAACTGGAAACAAACTATCATTCTTTGCAGATAACATGATGGCATACTTAGACAATTCTAGAGAGTCAACTAAAAACTAGTGGAAATAATTAACAACTTTAGCAAAGTTTTAGGATATAAAATAAACTCACATAAATCATTAGCATTTCTATATATTACCAACCAAGTATAGCAGGAAGAGATGGAAAGAGAAATTCCATTTAAAATAACTGCAGACAATATAAAATACTTGGGAATCTAACTGCCAAGACAAACCCAGGAACTATATGAATGCAATTACAAAACACTTTTCACACAAATAAGGTCAGATATAAACAAGTAGAAAAAATATTAATTGCTCATTGGTAAACTAAGCCAATATAATCAACATGACAATTCTACCTAAATTAATTTACGTATTCAGTGCCATACCAATCAAACTACCAAAAATTATTTTATAGAGCTAAAAAAAATACTAACAAAATTCATCTGAAAGAACGAAAGGTCAAGAAGAATCAATGAAAATAAATGTGAGGGAAAATGGTTTTGTAATACCAGATGTCAAACTGTATTACAAAGCAGTAATCATCAAAACAATCTGGTACTGGCTAAAAATAGAGTGGTAGATCAGTGGCCTAGATTAGGTACACAATATACAATAGTAACTGACCATAGTAATCTAGTGTTTGATAAAGGCAAAGATCCAAGTTTTAGAGGCAGGAAATTACTATTTGACAAAAACTGCTGGAAAAACTAAAGCAGTTTGACAGAAACTAGGTATAGACCAACACCTCACACTGTATACCATTATAAGGTCAAAATGGGCACATGATTTAGATAGAAAGATTAATACCATAAGCAAATTGTGGGAGCATGGAAAATTTTTCCTGTCAGATTTATAGATAAGGGAAGAATTTATTCCCAAACAAGAGAGAGAGAGAGAGAGAGAGAGAGAACATTAGAGGCTGTAAAATGGATAAGTTTGATTACATTATATGTAAAAGTTTTTATGCAAACAAAACCAATGCAGCCAAGATCAAAAGGGAAAGTAGAAAACTTGGGAGGGGGTGTGTGTTGACTTTATAGCAAGTTTCTCTGATTTAACTACTAAATCAAATGTATATGAATATAAGACATTCCCCAATTGAGAAATGGTCAAAGGATATGAACAGGCAGTTTTCAGAAGAAGAAATCAAAACTGTCTATTGACATATGAAAAAATGCTTTAAATTATTATTGATTAGAGAAATGCAAATTAAAACAACTCTGAGGTACCACCTCATAACTATCAGATTGCCTAATATGACAGAAAAAGAAAACAAATGTTGGAGGGGATCTGGGAAAATTGGGACATAATGCATTGTTGGTGGAGCTGTGAACTGATCCAGTCATTCTGGAGAGCAATTTGGAACTATGGCTTCAGCCCTATGGCTCGAGGGCTAGAAAACCGTGCTTACCCTTTGACCCAGCAATACCAGTACTGTTTTGTATCCCAAAGAGATCAGAAAAAAAAGGAAAAGGACACATATTACAACAATATTTATAGCAGCTCTTATTGTAGTGGCAAAGAATTGGAAATTAAAGGAATCCCCATCAACAGGGAATGGCAGAACAAGTAGTATGTGATTGTGATAGAATACTATTGTGCTCTAAGAAATGATGAACAGCATGCTTTAGGAAAAATCTGGAAAGACTTACATGAACTGATGAAAACTGAAGCAAGCACAGCCAGGTAAACATTGTACACAGTGATATTGTATGATGATTAACTGTAAATGACATAGTTATTTTCAGCAATACAATGATCCAAGATAATTCTGAAGGACTTATGATGAAAACTGTTATCCACCTCCAGAGAAAGAACTGATGGAGCTTGAATGCCGATTGAAGTATACTTTTTGAAACTTTCTTTTTCTTTTTTTTTTGGTCTTTTTTTCACCCTACAACATGACTAATATGGAAATGTTTTACGTGACTTAAATGTATAACCTATATCGCATTTCTTGCCACCTCAGGGAGAGGAAAGAGGAAAGGAAGAGAATTTGGAACTCAAAATTTAAAAAAACAAAGATTTTAAAAATTGTTTTTGTACGTAGGAAAATTTTATTTTAAAAAGAAAGATACTCTAACTCCTCATGTCTACCCCCTTGGAAACCAGAGGGACAGATACAGCAGCATGGCTTTGGGAGAGAGAGCCAGTACATACATATTGCAACTGCATCCTGAAAAAAATTTGTGAATAGTTCAGTGGTAGTGATGCAAACAGAAGTTAAATACACAGTCTTCCACATCATTTGGAGGGTGAGCAGATATGGCATAGTGGAAAGAACAAATTTAGAGTCAGAAGACCTGGGTTTGAGTCCTGGCTCTGCCTTTTATTAGCCATGAAGGTTTCCTCAGCCATAAAATAGGGGCAATACTTATATAACTTAGTAGGATTGTTGTGAGGCCATTGAATTTGATAAGGAAGAGAATTAGATGAGATCATATGTCCTATGTGAATATCAACCATTATTAATTCTAGCTTATTTTAAAAATAGATCTGGAATTTTCTCTCTTTATTAGGAAAAAAGTCTCTCTTTTTCCAATGATATCAAAACTTCTCTTTACAGAATTCTAAAACTTTATGTTCAGAACTTTTAAGGAATCAACTTAGGCCAAACTTTTTTTTTCTTTGTTAGTTTTTTCAGTATGCAATATCAATTAAAAAGTAACAATTCAAAAGAAGATAAAATGAGCTTTCATATATCTTGGCTGATACCCAACCATATCAGTTCATCTGGAGAGCATTTATAATTGTAGTTCTAACCAGTCAATCATGCCAACTACTATGCTAGGCACTGGGGACACAAATACAATAAGTAGACCAGCCTTGTCTAGAAGGAGCTTATATTCAATTAGGGGAAACAGCAAAACATATACACAAATGAGTAAATAAAAAACACACAAACACGAAGTAATTTCATGGTGTAGGGTAAAGAGGGAATTTAATCTTATTGGTGATGACAGTGGAATCAATCTAATTAAATTGACATGTCTTTTAAAACAAAGTCAAAAGAGCAGCTGACTAAATATATGAAGAGAAATCCATGCTGGAGGCAACTGAATTTATAGGGCACTGAGGGATC